GGTGCACAGCGAGCAGCCAGGGACAAGGTTGAGGATGATAAGGGTGTCCCAGCCAGTCTGACACCGTGAGCTTCTTTCTTTTATTTTTATGTGATTAATATTTATTATATTATATTGATAGTGTTGAATGAGCTCTTGAAGCTTCTGGCACATCTGTTGCACCTCCAGAGCGTACTGGTCACTCATCTACTTCTTCTTTCCTCCCCCCTGCCCCCACTGTTTCCAGTAGTCGTTCTCGTATCAATCGTGAGCCTGCTGTTACTGCTGCACATGAAGAAACAGGTGATGAGGAGAGTGATGAGGAAGATGGTGATGAGGGCAGTGATGGTGATGAAAGAGGTGAGGAGCAGGAGGTCATCCGATTTGGCCCACCAAGAGGCCGTCGTCAGGCCAAGTCTGGTTCCAACCACCATGAGCCCTTGGCTGAAGGTAATATAATATATTATTGTTGTTGTTTCATTCATTGAATATCCTTTATAGACATTGTTAAAGCTCCTGGCAATGATCGCTTGGTTAAAGGTTTTATTTTGATTAATTTTGTTCATTCCATCCATTTATTATACTTTCTAGATATTGATATTTCTAATCTTGCGCCTCCTGAGAAGGAAGTGCCTGCCAATGGGTCCTCACGTTCTACAGGAGGCATTTTGCGTGGGCGTGCCCTTGGGAATTCTTTCAACATAGGTGACCCTGTTGGTGATGTGCCTCAAGATGTAGCCCCCCTTTCCCATGGTCGCATTAATGTCACAATTGTGCAACAACCTCCTTCAGATATCATCATTCAGAATCCTACCTTGACTTCTGGGGAAAAGGCAGACCGGTTACGGTTACGGTTAACGCCCCTGGGCATCAAAAAACCGGACCGAACCGGACTCTCAAACACTACCTGTTCGCAGTAAGTATTCAATTATTTATAAATCTACAAAGCTTAATAAACTTTTGTCTCAGATCAGAATTATCGTGTTTATGTTTTGGATCAGAAGCAGTGGTCCATCATGGGGCGTTATAACATTGTAGTTGAGGATGACGAGGATGTTGTTTGGGAGGAAGATGAGATGGGTAAGGTGACTCATATTCTCTTGGTAGGTTTTATTGGTTGTGCTCTCTTTGAGTTTGGTTTCAATTATGTCTAGGAAAACGATTGTGACCCAATGGTTGCCTCAGCAATTCCTCCATCATTCCATCAGTGTTCTGTTTCTTTGGGTTCTCATTCAGGATCTGTCCCTCGTTCTTTGTCAGTTCCTTCTGAGTCTCGTGGACAGTCTCTTGCTTCGTCTGTTAGTACATCTGAGGTGACAGGTCCTTCAAGGCTTTCAAAAGAAAGCAAAGCTCTTCTCTTAGACTATCTTGGGATTGACACAGAACTTCCCTCTCTGGAACCATCTGGGTTACGCTCTGCTTACCAGAAGTTCAAGGCCATCACAAATGCTACCCCTAAGGTGATGGCCTTGGGCAAGGATGCTGAGTGGAAGGCACAGTTTAATGATGCAGCTATCTGGGTTCCCAGCATCACCACCTTCATTGATATTTTCATCGCCAAGTCACAGTTCTACCAAACTTGGAAGCCATTGTTTTTACGATCACAGGAGTATCCAGATATGCGAGATTGGCTTGATGACTTGGAAGATTGCCTCTGTACTGAGGATTTGTGGGGGATTAA